TCAATGTCTAACCATATGGAATGCACTCTTCCCCATCTTTTGAGGGTGCTCTGTGGTAGCATGGAATGAGATGACTTTCTTAGCATGGTGATGTAGTGTTAGGCTGCTGTTGGTCTTCTGACCATGTGTCAGAAAGAGGATCATCGTACTGCAATGCCCTTGGACCACAGATAAATGAAACCACAGAAAGGGAAACTACAGAGAAGCAGGGATTACAAACATAAGAAACAGATATCTCTAATCCTCTCTCTCTCTCTTCCATGGCATGTTAAAGTCACAAGAGCTCCAGCTCAGCGAGTTTTACACAGATCCAGGAGCCCCCAGCGTACCAGCAGAGAAGCCCCTGGGAGATGAGAGGGAGAGCTTGGGGGCCATAGTAGCTTTCTTAGACTTCCGGCTTCTTTCCTTAGAGCATCTAAGATGAGCTCCTTTTCCACTTTCATGGTACACATTGGAAGTCTGGGTAGAGTTTCCACTCGGGGGAATGAAGTACTACTTCTTAAAAAAAATAAATAAATAAATGTGACAACTATGCACCTAATGTAATCCATTCATTGAATTACATGTACAAAGGTAAGACCCAGGAGGGCCCCACTCAAGTAAGAACCAGGTATTTCTCCCCTCTTTTGGCCAATATCAAGACCCACCTTCGGCTGGTAGCCACACACACACACACACACACACACACACACACACACATACACAAACCCCTCTTTCACAGTTGCCTCCTGAATTCCACAGCAGGTGAGCCATCAAATGTTCCTCGTCATAACTTTAGTTCAACCAAACCAAGGGCTCTATCTGATTGAGCTCTATCTATTGAGTGGTAACATGACTCTGGCTATTGAAGCACGCCATCAGAATTCTGCTTATTTAGAAGTCCTCTCAGGAGCCGCAAAGATGGCTCAGAGGTTAAGAGCACTGGCTGTTCTTGCAGAGGACCTGGGTTCTATTCCCAGCACCTACATAGCAGCTAACAACCATCCATAACTCCAGTTCCAGGGGACCCAACGCCCTCTTCTGATCTCCACAGGCATTGCATGACACAGATGAATTTACATTCATGCAGGCAATACACTCATACACATAAAATTAAAATAATGAAGAAAATATTTTTAATTAAAAAACATGTCCTCTCAGGACTGGAGAGATGGCTCAAAGGTTAAGAGCACTAGCTGCTCTTGCAGAGGTCCTGGGTTCGATTCCCAGCACCGATATGATGGCTAACAACCATCTGTAACTCCAGTTCCAGGGGATCCAACGCCCTCCTCTAACCTCCTTGGGCATTGCACAACGCAGGCACACTTATGTACATGCAGGAAAAACACTCATACACATAAAATTTAAAATACAATAAAGTATTTCAAAGTCCTGACCATAAGCAGCCCTAGGTTTAAATAAATATTATCAAATTCAGGCCATACAGTATTTCTTTAAAACAACTCCAGTTACATTTTCCTGGAAGGCAGACCAGGTAGGAATTCTTCTTCAACCCCTTCTTAGTATCTCCTCAAAATCAAATGTTACCAAAGAGCTAGCAATCTGTCTTAAATTTGGTTCTCTAGGAGGGCCTACCTGAATGGGTAAGAAATCCCTTTATCGTTTGGGGGCCCTGATACCCCTAGGCAGGGCCTAGGCTGTTAGGCTACAACAACACAAGGAATGTGGTGATATTTTTAAAAACATTTGATATTTGGTATTTCAAATAAAAATACCTATGTACTCCCTGTGAGGGGAAATCAAAACTTGGTGACTTCAGAAGTTAGCCTCTGCTTCACTTGAAGTTCTGTGCAGAGGTGTCTCATCACGCCTCTCACCCTCTGTCTGTCCGGCCTCTGACCTGTCCAGCTCACCGCTCAGTCTTCCTGCCCAGAAGTGACTGAAAATTGCCAGGAACACTGGAAGACTGAGTTTTGCTGCTTCTCTTTGGGAAAATAAATTTGCCCCAGGTGAAAGGTGCTCACAAAATAGTTGTAGAATGAAGTCCCTTGTCAACTCACCAAACAGGCTCAGTTGCTCCAACTTCCTTGGGGTCTGTTTCCCTGCTCTGGGTAGAGATTGCCCTTAAGGGGTTTGCCCTTGAGTTCAACTCTCCCTCCACTTGGTTTGACTCCTGAGACAAGACAAAAAGGATTTATGAAGTTCGTTTTGGAGCACAATAAAGGCCTACAAAGTAATGGATGGTCTAGCTCTTCATAAGAAATTCTAGCTAATTCCTATTGGGGCATGTTTGTATTTAAGAAATGTAAGTCCCTCAACCCTTGAAATGAAAAGATCAGTTATCGAGGAGAGATGTAGGAGGACTGAGTGTTTTCTTTACAGTTTTTATTGATGTCTTTCAAGGATTCTGTTCCCTCCAAGAAAAATAAGGACAGAAATTCAGTATTTATCTTTGTGGATATATATCTGTGCAAATGATGTGTGATATTTCATGAGAGGGTGTGAACGTGTGTACAGGACTGAAGTGTGAATTACTGATATGTATATGTAATTGATGTATGTTCGGTGTCTATGCTTGTGTGTGTTTCTGAATGTGAGTGCAGTCTAAGCAAGGATGTGGGTTTATAAATATCTGAGTATTGAAAGGTTAACCATACACAACTGAGGGAGATGTTTTAATAAGTCTTCAATATTAAAAAAAAAAAAAACCCTCAAGTGATTAGAGTTTTTTTCAGCTAAAGAAAGGACAGGAGGGGGAAAAAAAAGTGGATTTTTCCTTTTTCTTTTGGTTAATAAATTTCAACAACAGAAGTGTAGGCTATGGAATATACTATACAGGTAAACAAGTTTTGTAGGGCAATAATTATGCCTGGTATAGATAAGACATGAAAGCTTCCTGGAAGGAAGTTTCTTTCCTTTCTTCATTGCTGATCTGTGTGCGTGGTCTAATTACTGAAAGCTCAAGCCTGGAGTTCAGGGAATTGAGGGAGAAAATCTTCTTTCAAGAGTAATTGGAGGAAAACAGGGAAAGGGGAGTGATCTTGGATGATGGGGAAACGGTAGGGTTTCGAAACAGGAGCTCAGGCCAGGTTTCCTCTGATAAGTTCCAAGGCACAAAGTGTAGGTTTCGGGTAAGGTGGCAGCAGGGTTGCAGTCTTCTGCAAAAATAACTGGCAGAGGGGCTGGACCCAACAAAACATTCCTTCTTCTGCATGTGGCAAAAGAACTGGTGATCTAAGTACCCACCCCTCTGCCTTCTCAGAGGGCCTCTCCTAACCCCCCTTCACAAGCATAAGCCAGAACCAAGGGTCCACCATAGGACCAGCTGGAAGATACTGGTGCCAGGTATGGGGGGGGGAGTGCTGTTGGGCGCATGCTAGGCCTGCAGGCATTGGCTGCAGAAGCAGGGGGTAGTGGGGGTGGGTCTGCATCTGGGTAGAGGGATGGGCCCATTGTCCTCCAGGACTAGGAAGGATGCGGGGTCATTAGGTAGAGGATGATATGGTGTCTGTTAGCCTGAGGAAATGGCTCGCTTTTGTTTTCCACCCAGTAGGAAATGGACCTGAATCCATTAGATTCTGGGCAGTTCAACCCAGCACAGTTGGAGCTCTTGGAGCACTTGGAGACTAGATGCCGAAAAGGCCACTTGTGTGGATTTGTGTCCCCACCACCATTGTGCAGCATGCCTATCATTTATGCATTTAAAGCCTGTCAGGCTGGCAATCTGCAGCCGAGGTCTGGAAGACAGTAATGCCAACAGACACAGGGGATGGTAAAGTGCACCTGTAGAGTTAAAAATGCATGACCCATTCCCTCTTTCAGGGAACATAGGAGAAAGACCCCTGTCCTGGAGGGTGGCTGCTGAGCTGTAATACATAATTCACGGGCCCATGCTGGTCCATGCAGATGGCGATATTAAATCATGATTGATGCTCAGAGACATGCACAGCTCATGAAGGTCTCCAAAAGGCTTCAGAATATTTCCATGCTTCTTGCGCCTCTCTGTTCTAACTGTGGTATTAAGCAAAGCCCCCTATTTCCCAAGAACCCCTGCTAGGGATTGCAGAACATCCCTCCTGGATAAATGAGATGCTTCAAATGTCATCGCCCACCTTTTCTGCCTTTGAAGGTCGTCCCTTTCCTCCTGGCCCACTGAGGCTGTTTACCTCCAGCCAGGCGCTGTTGGAGGGGGGAGCCTACTCCTGCCCTGCCTCTGCCTTTTAAGCAGCTGGACAAAGAAGCAGCAGCACACTCTGGTGGTGGTGACCAGGCAGGAGGGACACTGGGCAGAAAGCACAGAAAAGCAAAGGAGTCCATTCAACACAAAGCACCTTTGTGGAAATCCTGAGGTCAGAGCCAGCAGATTCTCCAATACAGATTATTTTCCACTGGGTGTATAATGACATAATAAATCAAATTTGTGGTGTGTGTGGAATTAAATGTTTGGGGAGGGGTTGCTTTTTTCTATTTTTAAAAAAAGAAGAAGAAGCTGAAATCAGCCTCTAGGGCCTGTTCTGGCCCAAAGCTGAAAGTGCTTCCTTGCACCACATGTAATTGTTGCCAGGCTTGCTAGTGGGTCGGTACCACAAAACCACGATTGTCAGTTCCCAGAGCCTGGCTGCTGGCTCCCTGGGCTGGGCTGGGAGACACCGAATAAAGTGAAGGATTTATGAGATAAAGATAGAGATGGGAGGCTTGCAGAAGAGGAAGATGGGCCAAGAAAGGAAGACAGGAAAAGGCAGGGGAGGCTTGTTAAGTGTGCAGTCTTCTTGTTTTTATAATCTCTAACCATGTAATTAGAATATTTATGACCATTTTCTGGAATACTTGCGCTCATGTGTGTGTGTGTGTGTGTGTGTGTGTGTGTGTGTGTGTGTGTGGTTGGGTAGGTGGGGGAGGGATGTGCTGAAATAATCTCTTCCACTGAATGAGTAAGTAGGTTAGTCTCCTGGACTGCCATAAAAGGTCTGTAAAATACTTGTGATCAGCCACTAGGAGAGCAGGAGGAGAAAGGCTGTCGTAGCACATCTGAAGTTCTTTGGTATTGCCTTCTCTTCCAGACCCACCCTGTGGAGGCCGTTTGAATTCCAAAGATGCTGGCTACATCACCTCCCCAGGTTATCCCCAGGACTACCCCTCCCACCAGAACTGCGAATGGGTTGTCTATGCACCTGAACCCAATCAGAAGATTGTCCTCAACTTCAACCCTCACTTCGAAATTGAGAAGCATGACTGCAAGTAAGCACACACACCAGTGGTCACACCCACACACTCCTGTCCCTTCTGTCACTGAAGGGTATTCATGAGTCCCATTCCCAGAGGGACACATCAAGGTGGCATATTTCAGTAGAGGTGATCCTACAGTATAGGGATAGAGCTTTCTGGAGAGATGTATAAGGAACAGTGGTGCCCTGTTTGCAGAAGTTGGCAGTAGAGTTTCTATGGGGGCAGAAAGTAGACAGAAAAACCCTACCTCTTGGCTCTGCAACTTACCTTCTCTTGGAAAGCTCCCTATTTCCACTCCTGTCTCACTGGGGAGCCCTACCAGCTTCCTTAAAAAATAGTAGCTGGATCCCAAATGGAGATGGCCTGCTGTTTTCCAAAGGGATAGTTCGTTTTCTTAGAGTAAAAAATGTTGAGTCTTGGGGCATGGTGGTACATCCCTTTAGTCCCAGCCCTCAGGAGGCAGAGGCACATGGGTCTCTGAGATCAAGGCCAGCCTGGTCAAGCTCCAGGCCAGCTGGGGAGACCATGTCTCAACCCTCCACCCCCCAAAAATGCTGAGTCTATAATAGCAAGCCTAAGCATCTCATACTGATTCTTGATGTCTAAGCTGTCCAGGTATTCTCAAAGCTGCTGGTATGGATTTATTCTACAAACACTGTTCCAATTGCTTTACATACATTAAGCCAATCAGTTCTCACCATGGCCTGGGGCAGTTGGTACCATCATGATCTCCATTTTGCAGATGAGAACACTGAAGGCACAGAGAGGTTAAATTATTCGCTCAAGGTGTCGCAGCTGGTCTTTCAGCAAGACATCTATTCAGCCACCTTGGCAATGTGTGGTTTAGGAGCTGCCAAGTGGACATTTAGACGTTTGTGAAAGCCTTCAAAATGCAGTGTTTAGGTATTGAAGCAGGTCGGGTTATAAGATGCAAGATGCAGATGAGTGTGCAGTCTCTGGGCTTCTATCTTAAATGCTTTCTTCATTGAATCAAAAGTGAAAGTTTTCAGAGCAGAAAAGAATGTGCCTATGAATTCACTGTTCTTTGTGACGCAAATTTTAATAAGTGTTCAGTGTTCCACATGATTAATAAGCAGTCTGAGCATTCCTGGGACAGAGGCATCATGAGTCCAGAATAGTTAATAAGGGGACAGCTGGTGGGACAGGTATAACAGAGCAGGCAACACTCCTGGCCTCCATTGCAGAGCAGGCTTGGGTCCAGGCCGGCACTTCCTTATGAAGGAAAGGAGGCATTTCTGTAACTAATACTAGACTCTGAGGCCCAGTGAGCTGTAGTCATTATTATCCTCCCAGGACCACTTTGCACCTACAGAATGGTTTCCTTCTAACAGGAGGTAGTCTGTTGAAAACCAAAGGGTTTTCTGGATGGATACTGCATGTGACCACGAGTCACAGGATGGCGTTTCTAATTCCAGGGCCAGTCTTGGTTGCCTGGATGGCAAAATGCATCAGTTCCCCTTTGTGTTATGTGCCCACACTGGACACATTGACTCAGCATCCCCTGGCTTCCACTTCTCTGACAGAGAACTTTATCAAGAATTTGGGCTAGAAGAGCGTCTTTAAAAGGCATTTTGAATTCTGGTACCTTTGGCTGGGCTGCAGAAGATTGGTATAAACTGAAGTGTAATGCACAGAGTACTTGAGCCTGAGCTCAGAGAAATTTGACTAAGCACCTCTCTGGATAGAGGGCCAAATTCGGTTCTGCTGATACCAGCAGATCTTGAGAGGAAATTGCTAAGAGGCCATTTTATGGGTATTCACGGTGACAAAGGGAAAAAGGCCCAGCTTTCTGGAAGGTTGAACTTGGATGCAGGTGAACAAGGCTTCAAACATATTGGTAAGCACTAAACTGTCAGAAAAGTTTCAACCCCAGGACCCAGCCCCCAGGGTAGGGGAGACCTTGATCTGGAGCTTCTGTCAGCAGCAGGGACAGACCCTCACAGTTGCTTGGAAGCAGAGGAGAGGAAGCAGGCCCCGAACAGGCTATCTCCCAGCTTCTCCGCCTTCCTAAGAAGCTTCCTGTTTTCCTCCTCACTCCTCATCTATGCTGTAGGTTTCAACCTAAAAGGTCGAGGAGGTCAGGAAGAAATCCTTCTGGAATCTGTTTCCCTCAGCACCAAATTGTCAGAGAGACTCTGCTAGGGTTAAGCCTCAGCCACTTAACTTTGTTCTTTTAATGCTCCTCACCCACCCCGCACTGCTCCTCTACTCCCCATTCTGTCTCATTAATTTTTACATTTAGAAGGCCATATCTGGTCTCTCAGCCTCTCACTCATGCTCATTTGCATGCAGAATAAGGGCCTTGCTTCTCCCCATGTCTTGCTTCACTTTCTCGGGAAAGGAGCACTTCATCTTATTACATCCTAGAAGTTCCGTCTTGTTCTTGCAATCTCTCTGACTCCCTCTCTTCCACATTGTGCACTATGTTTTTGTTCCAAAGAGCTCCTGGGTTTGCAGAGCACTATCAAAGGAGATCAGCCTCTCTTTGAATCTTGGAGACAAGTTCAGCTGGACTGGGCTCCTAAGACTTATCAGATGGATATTTCCCAAAACTGCCTCAACTACCCTGATATGAACAAGCAACAAAGCAGCTCTTAGCAGAAAGGGGAAATGAAAGAAAAGGAAGCCTATGTGCCTGCCCACGTGGTGTTTTCTCTTCTGCTTTCTGTGCACCGGATTAACCAACAAACTGTCCCCTGACCTGAGACCAGGGCCTGTCCTGGCCCATGGCACCCAAGCCCTTGCTTCACTGTCCCTTGAAATCTCCATCCCAAAGGTTGAGGCTGCTGCTGAGCAAACCCCAGACAGATCTTTTTCTGATCACTGCTTATTCATTTTGTTCCACTAAAGCTTGCTGTCTGCTTGGAAAATTTCACTCACAAGCCTCAGATGTTGCTTGTGCCAGCACAGTTCAAGGCCACCCTTCCTGGTAGCTTCTCCTGACTCCTCCCTTGGGCCATCCACAGGGAGCCAAACCCTAAGCACCAAGATGCTGTCCTGGGGACTGGGTAGCAGCGACAGGCAGAAACAGAGGCCTCTGTGGCACTGCCAGGTGCCTGTTGGTGGATAAAAGGACAGGGCTCAAGGCTGTCTGGGCAAACAGAGAGAAGCTACTTCCATCCCCCCGGGAGCAGAGGATACCAGAAGGCTGCTGCCTCGGCAGACAGAGAAAGGCCTTTCTCTTGAGTCATCAGCCAGAGGGTTTGATGTTATGGTTTTAGAAACACACACACAAGACTGAGTGTTTTTCCATTTCTGAAGTTTGAACTGTGTGTATTTTTCAAAACACCAACATGCCATCCTACATAGCTTATTCATGAATCCTCAAGCAGGCAACACACACACACACACACACACACACACACACACACACACAGGCCCAAGCAAAGGAAACCAAAATCAAGAGCCTAAGAGCCTAGGCCCTTTAAAGAACTGGTCATTGTTAGGTATCTTGAAAAGTATTTTCAAGAAGTCCAAAAGCCACAAAGATGAGGTGAAAGTGAAAGGATATTCCTCAAGCCAAAGGCCTCACGAGTAAATCTACATAAATTCCGAGCAAAGTTAACTTGTTCATCTCAAAATGAGCTGTCGAAGAACAGTGTTCCACATGGGTGAAGTTTCCAGATGCTAAAAGATATGCCTTTAAAGTTCTAGAAGTTCTTTTTTAAAAGAGTTTTCAGGGGGGCTGAAGAGATAGTGCAGCGGTTAAGAACAGTGACTGCTCTTGCAGAAGACATGGGTTCGAATCCCAGCACCCACATGGCAGCTAACAACTGTCCATAACTCCAGTCCCAGGGGATTCGATGGCCTCTTCTGACCTCCGCGGGCATTGCATGACACAGGTGCACTTACCTACATGCAGGCAATACACGCATACACATAAAATAAAAATAATAAAGTATTTTTTAAAGAGTTTTCAGTAAAGAACATTCTAAATCACATGCCATTCTCCCATGTCTTCCTAAAACCAACACTTCAGTGGAGTCATTTTTTTACCTATGATGGTTCAAAACTGCATTTCTAAACTTCACTTTTCAAATGAGGCCAGGTAATGCTATATTTGGATCTGCTTTAGATTTGAGTTTGGGGGCTGGAGAGATGGCTCAGCAGTTAGGAGCACTGACTGCTCTTGTAGAGGGCCTGGGTTCAGTTTCCAGCACCCACATGTGTGGGTCTCTCCCTCCCCTCAAGGGCCGTTGGCCACCAATCCACAAGGACAAAGGGAGCAGAAGCGACTAACGGGTTCAGGACGGCCAGTGAGCACAACGGATCCAGGGAGTCAGATTCAGGGATACAGCTCCGTTTATTCAGTGGGGGGTCAGGGAAAATATAGTGTGGAGGCAGCTGCCAAAGCTTCAGCCGATAGGTGTTCATAGTATGCTTTATTTACATGTGGTAGGGGGATCCTATCATCTGACTATAGGGCAATGCCTAGTTATCATATAGAAAAAACCTGGGGGCAGTTTTATTACAGGTAACTATGCCAAAGGTCATGTTCCAAATAAGGTCAGGCATCTGTGCTTGGTGGCACTTTCCAGGCAAGTCAGGCAGAGAGCAGGAGGCCCCCGCTGAGAAAGGGAGTCCTTCCATATAGCGCCCAGTCCCTTAGAGCTATCCGGACATGGTGGACTATAACCTTAGCATCAGGGTCCCCCAGCACACATGGTAGCTAATAACCATCTATAACTCCAGTTCCAGGGGACCAATGCCCTCTTTTGGCCTCTTCGGACATTGCACATGGATACATTTACATACATGCATGCAAAACACTCATACACATGCAATTAAATTTTTTTTTAATTTCATAGATTTGACTCTGATTGACCTTTTGAATTTCTAAGCCTCAGTTTACACCTTCCACAAAAGCATGATAATAACAACCGCTTTGCATGATTGTTGTGCCTTATGTCGCTGTACATTAAGTTAGAAAGTGTGCTAATGTCTTTGCACTATGTCATGGAAAAACTTGGAACAGTTTTCTGTCAGTACTT